TGAGATGGTGTGAGTGTTGTAAGAAAGAGGGAGTGTGTGTGAAAGAGTCTGTGTGTGTGAGAATGAGAGGGAGTGTGTGTGAGTCTGTGAATGAGAGGGAGTGTGGATGGGTGTGTGCGAGTGTGAGTCTGTGTGTTTATGTGAGTGTGTATCAGTGTGTGTATGTGTGTGAGAACGTGTGTGTGTTAGTGTGTTGCGTGTGTGTGAGACTGTAAGTATATGTGTAAGTGTACGTGAGTGTAAGTATATGTGTGTGAATGTGCATGTTATGTGTGTGTATGTGTGTGTTGTGTGTAAATCTGAGGGGTGTGTGCTTGTGTGAAAGAGTATATATGTGTTGTGTATGTGGCTGAGGGTGTGTGTGCGGTGTGTGTAGTGGGTGAGGGTGTGTTGTGTGTGTTGTGTGAATGTGTGTATGGTAGTGAGGGTGTGTGTGCCTGTGTGAGGATGTGTTTTGTGTGTTTGGGTGAGTGTGTGTGTGGGTGTGTGTGTTGTGTGCGTGTGTGAGAGTGTGGGTGAAGGTGTGTGTTGAGGGTATGTAGGTTAGGGTGTGTTCTGTGTGTGTGTGTGAGGGTGTGTGTTGTGGGTGTTTTGTGTGTGAGTGGGTGTGTAAGGGTGTGTGGTGTGTATGTGGGTTAGGGTGTGTCTGTGTGAGGGTGTGTTTTTTGTGTGTTGTATGTATGTGGGTTAGGGTGTGTTATGCGTGTGTTGTTTTGTGTGTTGTCTGTGTGTATGTGGGTTACGGTGTGTTGTGTGTGAGGGCGTGTTGTGTGTGTTGTGTACGTGTGTGTTGTGTGTGAGGGCGTGTTGTGTGGCTGTGTATTTGTGTGAGGGTGTGTTGTGTGTCTGTGTTTGGGTGTGTTCTGTGTATGTGGGTTAGCGTGTGTTATGCGTGTGTTGTGTGTTGTCTGTGTGTATGTGGGTTACGGTGTGTTGTGTGTGAGGGCGTGTTGTGTGTGTTGTGTACGTGTGTGTTGTGTGTGAGGGCGTGTTGTGTGGCTGTGTATTTGTGTGAGGGTGTGTTGTGTGTCTGTGTTTGGGTGTGTTCTGTGTATGTGGGTTAGGGTGTGTTGTGTGTTTTGTGTGTTGTCTATGTGGGTTAGGGTGTGTTGTGTGTGGGTGTGTTGGGTGTGTTGTGTGTTTTGTGGACGTTTGTGGGTTAGGGTGTGTTGTGTCTGTGGGTGGGTTAGGGTGTGTTGTGTTTTGTGTATGTGGGTTAGGGTGTGTTGTGTGTTTTGTGTGTTGTCTATGTGGGTTAGGGTGTGTTGTGTGTGGGTGTGTTGTGTTGTACGTTTTGTGGATGTTTGTGGGTTAGGGTGTGTTGTGTGTCTGTGTGTTGTGTGTTGTGTTTTGTGTGTTGTCTGCGTGTGTGTCTGCGGGTTAGGGTGTGTTGTGTTTTGTGTGTTGTCTGCGTGTGTATGTGGGTTAGGGCATGTGTGTGTGTGAGGGTGTGTTGTGTGTATTTGTGTGTTTTGTGTATGTGGGTTAAGGTGTGTTGTGTGTGTTTTGTGTATTGTCTGTGTGTATGGGGGTTAGGATGAGTTGTGCGTCTGTGTGTGTGTAAGGGTGTGTTGTGTGTGTGGGAGTGTGTGTGTATGGGGGTCTCTCAGGCCAACTCTGCTGCTGTTTGTGGCACTGCGATGGGTGTTCGGGTCCCAGCGGGAGGATGTGGGGCTGACCTCGTTTCCCTCCCCGCGGGTCCCGCATCTCCTTTCGCTCCCCTCCGCCGCGTCTTCCCAGATCACTCCAGCCTGCTGCTCCACGTGAAGCAGTTCGTGTCTGACCTGCGGAGCCTGAGCTGTCAGATGGCGGCGCTCCAGGGCAATGGTGAGGAGGCCAGCCCGGCCCGCTCTCTGCCTCCCGCGCGCCCCCGGGCAGCGCCTTAGCTCCTGCGCCCGGTTTCTCCCGCTCAGGCTCAGAAAGGGCCTGCTGCCCAGTCAACTGGGTGGAGCACGAGCGCAGCTGCTACTGGTTCTCTCGCTCCGGGAAGGCCTGGGCCGACGCCGACAACTACTGCCGGCTGGAGGACGCGCACCTGGTGGTGGTCACGTCCTGGGAGGAGCAGGTGAGGACCCGGAGGGTCTGGGAGGCCGGCTGGCCTCGGGGAGAGATCACCACCCGCCTCCTCTCTCCTCAGAAATTTGTCCAGCACCACATAGGTCCTGTGAACACCTGGATGGGCCTCCACGACCAAAACGGGCCCTGGAAGTGGGTGGACGGGACGGACTACGAGACGGGCTTCAAGTGAGTGCGCGCCCTCCCTCGGCCTGGGTCCGGCCGCCTTCCCGCCTGGGGCCCTGGGCGGAGGGGTCTGGAGCGACCTGGCCGCGGGTCCGACCTCCTGGGGCCCACAGCTGGCTCTGTCCCCAGGAACTGGAGACCGGAGCAGCCGGACGACTGGTACGGCCACGGGCTCGGGGGAGGGGAGGACTGTGCCCACTTCACCGACGACGGCCGCTGGAACGACGACGTCTGCCAGAGGCCCTACCGCTGGGTCTGCGAGACAGAGCTGGACAAGGCCAGTCAGGAGCCACCTCTCCTTTAATTTATTTCTTCAGTGCCTCGACCTGCCGCAGGGGTCCGGGGTTGGGAATCCGCCCGTCTGGGGGCCTCTTCTGCTTTCTCGGGGATTTTCATGTAGGATTTTAAGGGAAGGGGAAGGATAGGATGATGTTGGGAAGGTGGGGGGCTTGAAACTCGTGGCGCTTTCTGCAGTTTGCACGTTATCATTGTCAAGTTTTTTTTTTTTTTTTTTTTTTTTAGAGTAAAAAGAAATATACCGAAACGTTCTATGAGTTATCTGGTTATTGGGGATTCGGAAGCAGGAGTGGGCTGGTTGGCATTAGGAAGCCTTGGCGGGCGTTGTAGCATTATGATAACTGTATGGGCTTTGGGCCAGAATGGCCAGACTTTGTTATTTAGAGATATGTGAGTTTGGGCAAATTATTCTGTTCTCTGTGTCCCAGCTGTAAACAAGCCATCTTACTGAAGACCATCCTACTTGGAGCGATACCCCCAGGAACAGAACCACCCGAATTTTTTTTTTTTTTTTTGGTGTGAAATAGTCGTGCTCTGTTGCCCAGGCTGGAGTGCAATGACACGATCTCAGCTCACTGTAACCTCCGCCCCCCGGGTTCAAGTGATTCTCCTGTCTCAGCCTTCGAAGTAGCTGAGATCACAGGAGTGCACCACCACACCCAGCTAATTTTTGTATTTTTAGTGGAGATGGGGTTTCACCATTTGGCCAGGCTAGTCTTGAACTCCTGACCTCAGGTGATCTGCCCGCCTCAGCTTCCCAAAGTGCTGGGATTACAGGCGTGAGCCACCACGCCTGGCAGAACCACCCGAATTTGTTGAGTGCTTCAACAACTTTGAATGAAACTCAGTGGTGTCCTTTGCATTCATTACAGCAAACAGAAGCAGCGTTCACAGACATGGAATTGTGAACAAAAATTGCCGAAGTATTCACCCATAAACAAGACCTCAAGTGATTCCTAAAAGGAACAATGCTCTGACCACAGTAAAATAAGGTTAGAAATGAACGTGAAAGTACAGCCAAGAAGAGATCTATCAACATACAATTTTCTCACCATCTTTTTTTGTATTACTTCCTAAGTAATTCTGAGTTTTTTTTTTTTTTTTT